CCCAAGCCTTTGTTCATGTCGAGCAATTTTGTAAGTTTCATAAGGTGAAAGGACATGATATTAGTGATTGCTATAATTTTCATCAAACATTTCAAACCATGTTGACACTTGGAGCTTTAAGTATAGAAAGAGAAGGGGGCATGACATGAGAGTGAACACTTTGAGGGAAAAAGAAGCTAATGTTAGGGATCAAGCCATACAATTTGGGCAATACCTAATAACTCAAAGTTGGTAACTTTTTCATAACTCACGATCAACATACTTGAGGATGCCATTGATGTTCATGATTTGTCCATAAAATCAGCCAAGGAGAGGAGTTGAGCAATTGGTTTTATAAAGTAGTGTCTATTGTTTTCAAGACTGAGTGATTCTCTTATTATGATTATCTTTGCCTTTCTATCATTATAGTTCATAAGTACATTATGCCAAACTTTTTATCAAGCTTTCACAATAATTTTATTTTGTGAGATCGTGTAAATTTTCTCCATCTCTGCATACTTTTTATTTATTTATCTTATTTGTATTCTCTCTTTGGGATATTCGGTATGATCATATCCGAAGAACACCAAATGATTACGCTAAAAAAAACTATTGACCTAACTTTGATGACACTTGGACAAAGAAAAAGTGTTGTGAATTTCATGGATTGAACCATTTCTTTGAATAAAAAAAGAAATTTCTACTATTTTAGCATGATTTATTATAAATTTGAAATGAAGAGATGTTTATTTAAAAGTATCATTCGTCATTTATGTCATCCAAGTCAAAAGAAGTAAAACGGTGAATGCATTCAACATATTTCAAAAGTGATCAATTTTCAAAATATGTCATGTATCGGGAGGCAATTCTTTTTATCAAAACCAAAAATTTCTTTTCTCGATTAGCTTTTTTAAGGATACCCTTGCCTCGGATAATATAATGATGCCTTAAATAAGAAGCCAAATGATTTGATATCTTAAATAATAATAAATGGTGCACACTCGGGTCATGAAACCATTCGATCTATCATTTCTTCTTCATAAATCATTATTTTCATATGAGACTAAAGCCTATCAACTTGAGCAAGTCGGACTAGAGATGAAAAAAAAAGGCCATTTTTTATATAACCTTCATAAATAAATTTTATCCTTTGTCATCTCACTTTGATTCTTTGGTGATTTCTTTCGATAATAACCTGGACCAAGATCATCCCTCGCTTTCGGGGCAATGTAGAGGTGTCTAGTACTCCAATGTTTGCTCATTTTAAACTTTTAATGGTTATCTTTAGTTTTTTTTCTTCTTTTATTTTTATTCTTTAGTCCAAAAAAAAATCAACAAAAAAAAAAATTGGATAATCAACAAAAAAATGTATTTATTTGTTTGGAACGTATTACAAAATTATAAAAAATTTCAAAAAAATAATAAGATGCAAAAAAAAAATACAACAAAAAGAAAACAAAGATAGAAGGACAAATCCCCTCCGTCTTTTGTGCATTTCCTAGCTATCCTAGACATTTCCTCGATCCGGTTTCTATCTAGGTTTAACAACCTACTACTCGTTGCAACTGCTGCAGGCATTCCCTTATACTTGCCTCATCATGTCGCAACTCCAGCGACCGACCAACTCCTCACTCCCCACGACTCCCGTAATTACCCCAAGACCAGCACACAAACCCACTCCCCACGACTCTTGTAATCACCCCATGACCAACACACAGCTGCCAACTCCCCACTCTCCACAATCGTTGCAATCACCCCCACCATGCCATAACCCTTGTAATCACTCCACTACTAGCACACGACTCCCCACTCTTCATAACTCATACAATCACCCCATCATGACATAACTCCTACAATCATTCCCACATCCCTCACTTGTTATAAGTCCTATATTAAACAACTACCAACTTCCCCATAACCCTATAAAATCCATCACCATCATGGCAGGGAACCAACCAATTCTCGACATATATAAACAATAAAGGAACAACACAATGGAGATGGTTCGAATTAAAAGTTCATTAAAAAAAATTGAAAAAGAAAATCAAAGAAAAACATAAAAGCAATAACAAATTAAATTGGGCCCAACTTCGGAATTAAAGGAAAAAGAAAAAAAAACAAAAAAAGGAAAGAAGATTTTATCGAATTTTTCTAGAGCGACGGTAATCCATTGAGGTTTTTTCTTCATCATCAATCCGAATTCTTTTTTAGGTAAGCCATTCTTTATTTGCTTCGGTGTAATTTATATTTGTGAATGTTGATGGCGGTGATATTCATCAACTAGAGTAGATGTATTTTTTTCCCCTTTATAGCACCAACCAATAATTCTTGTTCCTTTTTTAGTTTTTCCTTTATTTTATATGGAGGGATTACATCTCTTTGCTTTGGTTCGCTTAGAAAGCTCAAGTTTTATGATAGACTTGAGCAACCTAAGTCATCTTACGCCTTTCAACCTTTCATCTCTAAAGATTAGGAGCTTGGATCCGGAAAGCTTATAGAAAAAATTAGGTCAATAAATAAATAAATGACAATTATGACATCAATATGCAAGATAACTTACATTGAGGGCCATCTGCATAGTCATAAATATTTGACCAGAAAAACTCCTTTGTACCTAAGACTCTATATTTCTAGTGATCTAAGATAGCTACTAGAATAGCCTATTAACATGCTCCCTCCACCTATATGGTAAGATTATTCCCAAAGAGAGCCTCGTACATCTCTTTTTATGTATTTATCAAAGAAATAGGAACAAGATGCATAAAGCCCATCATCAATTGCATCGAATGTGTTCATTGCTATTTCTTTTCCTAGATAATGAGTCCTAAAGACATACCTAGCTAGTATAAAGGTAAACCTTTTTTGTGGCACCACTTGAGTCACCACGTAGATATTTAGGAGCTAGAGATAGTAACAATACCTCATTATTTTACGGATGGACCTTTTTAACTAGAGGTAGAAGTATTAATAAACTTCTATGTTTTCCTTTTCGTAAGCCTTGCGTTAGCACCTCGTAGACCCATACTCCTTTCTATATGTATCATCTCGAGTGTACTTACCTCTATGTCAGCTATGTGAACTTAACTTTTCATACAACTTGCAATTATAGGCTCCACTTAAAGCATATCAATGACAAAACGGTGAAAAGTACCCATTAGCTCGATAAGATAGATCACATATGCCATATGACCACACAAGATACTTAGATAAGAAGTTTAAATCCTCATGACACCCATGTCATTAAGACTCGAGGGAAACTAATGTACTCGACATACACGTGTACCATATAAGGTCCCACCATCCATCATAGAGGTCGACATATATAGAATAGCTCCCACTCAACGAGAAAAGGTACACATCTTTTGTTAAAGGCTCGTCTAGCCATAACTCGAGGAACGTGACCAAACCTTCACTAACCGGATGGACAAATCATGCACTAATTAAATGCATATATGTCCCGGGGTCGTTCTTGTCAAGTAGACAATACCTATGACATCATTATTTATACCTAGCAATAATCCATCAACTCTAAAAACAATTATTCTCTAATCAATATAATAATATTGGTGGTAAGGGAACTAAGCTGTCTTGCCTTTCTCTCCATGCAATTTGATAGGGTCATAATCATATAAACAACCTTGAGCCTTAGGGTTAAGGGTTTATAACTTGTTATCTCAATCTTTATTCTTCTTCTTCTTTCAATACATGCATTGTTATCTTTTTCAAGTCCATACTTCTTCTTCTACTTACTTAATTATCATAGATTTTTTCACTCAATTAAAAAGACTTGTTTTGCAAGTGTACCGGAGAATCCAACCACCATAACCATCGCTTTTCAATTACTAACACCTTTACTTAGTGATGCAAAAGACCACATTATCCTTAGAGGTTTTTCGACCTTCAAAATGAAATCGGATGATGGAGACCAACTTGTTAAAATCTGGATTGGTTGATTTACTTTTAGGAAAATTTCATATGTTTAGGATTGACATGTAGAAGTCATCATAGAGGTATAAAACTAATGACTCAATATATGTTAATACTTAGTAGCTTGTTTCTTTCTTTCCACTTGAGTTTATGAATTAGGAACAAGCGAGTATTCTGTTAAAATTAATTAACCAAATCAAGCTGAAACTAAAATACCAATTCAGTTTGGTTTTTAATTAAATTTAGTTTTTGAAAATCAAAACCGAATTAATTTCAACTATTTAGTTTCGGTTTGATTTTAAAAATCTTGAATTCATTTTCCACCAAAAATAAAATTATACTCTTTTAAGAATTATATATATATATATATTCTTTTAAGTGTTATTTGGACTTTGATAGTTTGATTTACATATTTGAACAATCAATAATTTTATTTATCATTATATAATTTATATATAAATTAGTGTACTTGTAATTAAATTTTGATGTTTTATTATATGGTATAGTTTTGTACTCTAGCCTTATTTAAATAAATAAATATTTATTATCTTTTATATATATATTAATTTATATCATTTTGACTAGAGACAAGACTGCATGGTCAATAACACAAATTTTTAAAGCTATTTAAATTATTTTAAATAATTAAAAAAATTGGCAAAATTTTTTTTTGATTTATTTATTAAATATCCCACTTTTTTTTTTATAAACAGAAAAATCGAACACAAATTTGATTTGGATTCGAGTAGGTTTTTAGTGGTTTCGATTAATTGAAAATCGAATTGAAATATTAAAAATTAAAATTAAAATTTAAAAAAAAAAAAAAAAAAAGGCAGACTCCTATCGTGAACTCGCTCCAAACTCCGCCGCCATACGCCCCCTTCACGCGCGGACTTTTAGTTTTAGGACGACAAAAGGCGTCTCTCTCTCTTCCCTTCTTCAAGCTTTGCTTTTACTCCGTCTCCACCGCGTCAAGACACACTTTTCTCTCCTTAGAATTTATAAACATTTGTTCCTCCCAAATTCTAAAACCTTTCTCTCTGTCCCTGTCTTTTTATTGCAAATTCCAATTTCTCCCATCCGCATGCATATATATGTGCAAAACCAAAAAGGCTGTCAGCGCGTCCGATCCCGGTCCCAGCTCAATCCGAACTCGTACGACTCAATCACCCCGAACTCGTCCGACTCAAGCACCCCGAACTCGGCCGCCAACCTTCCCCACCACCCCCACTGCTTCTGCCTCATCAGATCCTTCAACGTCTAACACCAATTACTACACAACTTCATCTTCCACTCTTTCAAGCCGAACCTCTCTTTCCAGCCTTCGTGATTCCCTCTCTCAAAACCCTCACATCTACGACATGTCCGAGATTCGTTCCGCTACCAACAACTTCCTCGCCAAACACCACTCCTCCTCCTCCTCCTCCTCCACCGCTTGCTGGCGTTGCAGCTTGCGGAACAACGACACCATCATCTTCCAGCGCAAGTTCCGCCGCAAAATTGAAATGACTCAACTGAAAGAACGCCTTTCAGTAATTTGCAGAAGTAATCACTCCAGTGTGATCAAGCTCTTAGGAGCTTCCATATCTGGAGATCACATCTACCTCGTTTACGAATTCATTCCCGGCGCAAATCTTTCAACTTGCTTGAGAAATTCGAAAAATCCAAATTTCACAGTTCTTTCGACCTGGGTTTCAAGAATGCAGGTGGCCGCTGATCTTGCATACGGTCTTGACTACATCCACAACAAAACTGGCTTAAACATAAGCCTGGTACACAACCACATTAAAAGCAGCAGTATCCTTATTACAGAGCCGTCTTTTAATGCTAAAATTTGTCATTTTGGGACTGCTCAGCTGTGTGGAGAAGTCGATGAGAATGAGAGGATGAAAACGAGCAAAATGGGTGAAATTACTGAATTGGATGATGATGTCAAATCTTCCCCTTCTTCTTCTCGTTCGCTAAAAGGTTCGAAAGAGTTGACGAGGTCTAACAGCGGGATCATGCAATTCGAAGGGGTGAGAGGGTACATGTCGCCGGAATTTCAAGCTACGGGAATAGCAACACAGAAATCAGACGTCTACGCATTTGGAGTGGTGTTATTGGAGTTGTTGTCCGGTGAAGAGCCATTGAAGTACAAGTATGATAAAAGCAGAGGTGATTTTATAAGAACGTCCGTAATTGAGACCGCCAGAGCGGCGATTGATGATGGTGGCGGTGTTGGTGGGATGGAGGGGAGGTTGAGGAGGTGGGTTGATCGGAGGCTAAAGGACTCGTTTCATGTGGAAGTGGCAGAGAAGATGACACGTGTAGGGTTAGATTGTGTACAAGAGGATCCAGATAAGCGGCCAGATATGGGACGGGTGGCAGGGAAGATTTCGAGATGGTATTTGGAGTCGAGGATTTGGTCTGATAATATGAGAATTTCTGACCAGATTTCGGTTTCTTTGGCACCTAGATAGATTAGTTGTGGAAAAAACGTAGATTCGGCTGCTATTTCTTTCTTCCTTTCTTTTTAATTTTTAAATAGATTGACGGATGGATTTTTGATTTTTTTTGTCACCATCAAGTAGTTGATGCTGAATATTTTTATTGGTTTTGAATTTGTTTATTATTGATAATGAATATTGAATTTATGTAATCTAATGGATGGGAGTAGACCAAATTAACTGATGTATTTGATTCCATATACTTTAATTGATTAATGTGATACTTTAAAAAAATTTAAAAAGAAAAAAATTGATCAAGATGGATTGTTTTAAAAATATATTCCATGTTCATGAACATTTCGAACCAAGTAGTAAATTGTTCAATACGTTTCACGTTGAGTCATGAAATAATCAAGCTTTAAAACTATTTCTAGTGTGGTTTGATTTGTTTCTCTGTCCTATTCCTCTCTCATTCATATACAATTAGAGGGATTCCCATCGTATTTTTAAGACAACTCCATACTGTACATAAATAAAATACACCATCTAAGTTTAAGACCAACAACGGAGACTTAAACCCAGTATAGGTAATTCTTTGTGATTGTGAATGTGAATACAAAAACCCTTTCCAGTTACAAAACTTCAGCATCCTTTGAATAAGGACTGCAATCACTTTCACTACCGTACCACACCTTTCCATTCCATGGTGTGCTCTTTAAGAGCAGACTAGTAAGCCTTCAATACTTCCTATTAATTTATTGGTTAAATACAGCTGGCTTTGGAAAAGTGAACTTTCAAAAAGTCAGAAAACAAAAACTAGACAAGTCAAAAACAAACCACACGAGTGAAGGAGATGGGGACGCCCTTAACATGGTCTAAACTACAGTGGCGGGCATAACATAATAGATTTGAAATTGAAAGTGCAAAACGAAAGGAAAGAAAGTGAGGGCAGCAACAAGTTGCGTGGAAATGACTCCCTAAAGCACAGGATTCACAGTAAAATGCACAAAGCACAACCCAATTACAAGGCATTACTTGCTAACAAAAGCATAGCCAGTCAAGTCTAACATTAATGCCCAAATGTTGCAAGCAATAAACAAGTAATGCAGTTTCTAGCAGCCACTCGAGACCAACATCCCCAACTTTACTCTGCTGGTTGCGAGAGAGAACTACCAAAGGCATAGATAATAAAATTAAGGTTCCACAATTAGATATTGCACAGAAATGGATCACATCTGTTAGATTAGATCAAGCATTTGCGAAAAGACACAACAATCCAACACAAAATCAAGATAGACAACATTTTCTATTAACTCAAAGTCAAGCTTAGATAGTGAGTATGAAAAGACATACTTGACCATATAGGATATCGCACAAGCCAAAGGAATGGGGAAAAAAAAGGAGAGAATGAAATTGAAATAGCCAAGCAACATTTACTCTACTTCAACTACTGGTTGATGACGAGAAATGCCATATCACCTACACATTTTGATTTTACTGGTGTTTCATCTATCGCTTTGAGTTTAAGAGGAAATCGTTTCTATTTGAAGATGACAAGGCATTCTTGTAGCATCTTTCTTCATAGCTTTTGTTCATGATTTCACTTTTCTAACTAAAGCTTTTGTACACTTTACCAGATTCTACTTCACGATAACATCCAGTGATGTCCTTGCTCTATTACGCAGTGCATGACATGCTGGGCTTATTTTTCCTTGGATATGCATATATGATAGCCAGCTCCCTGACCTGGCACAGAACAGACTCTGGTAGCTGATTTGACTCTTGCTGAACCTGCATGACGATTTTCTTAGTGATTCTGCTTTGATGATAAGAATTAAATATGCAGATAATACAAGTGCCACTCCAAATGTAAAACAGATAGTTTTATTTTTTCAGAGAAAACAAAAGGTCCAAAAGCATTTAGACGCTGACCTTGCTCTTTCTCAGCGCTCGAGTACTGCTGTTTAAAAGATTTCGCCATTTGTCCTGTAACCAAGGTATTACTAAAGACTCAAAGAGTATCATTCTCATAAACAAAGAAGCACCATAAACATAAAGAATAGCATAATGAAGTTCATAAATATGCTTACAAGAATTATAAAGTGAACTACCTTGAGATTTACAGATGTACGATGAGAAGATGAAAACATTAGCCTCTTTATGTGAGTCCATTTTCCAACTCCATGTTCGGTAACACCTATGATTAGCTTCCTCACTTCTCCAAGGGTCCACCTCCTATGATCCCGTTTCAATTTCCTACCCCTTTGCGTACTACTTGTGACACAATCATCTTCTGAGATGCAATCTTGTGACTTAACTGAAGAAGGTTCAGTATCAAAATCTTCATTTGAAACTGAAACTCCATTTTCCTTGGAATCTCTAGAGTCATAACCCTAAACAGAACAAAGATGACCACATATGTACAATGCAGAGAATTATAATTCCTTTCAAGTTTCGTAAGATAGAATTCAAGCTCAAGTCAACATATGCCAAAATAAATACACATATTTTTCAACCTCCAAACTTGTACATGACAGTCTGTGAAAGTTATGTAAATGAGAGAATAAATATCTTGACTTGATTGAAGCAACATGCTGTGTTCACATATTAGACTAGCACAAGGATTATATGTCGTTCACAAAAGAAAAAGAAAACAGATCAAATGCCAATAGTGTGAAACTATGAATGAATTGCAGAAAGAACATTATAAGATGGACCATGGTTTTAAAAGACAAACAAAAAGTACGTAACCAAAGCTAGTGAATTACTTACCAAGTATGATGTATATTTCTTTGGTTTCCTTTTCTGGAGTGGAAGACCAGATGAAACTTGAAGAGAGGATGCCTTTAAAGATTCTTCCTGACAAACAATTTGTGTAGCTCCAGGTCCTTTTTGGTGATATTTCTTGTGAGATCTAACATCCAGAAACTTACCCCTCAAATTTCTATCAGATGGCCCATATTTTCTATAGCTATATCTTGAAGTTTGCAACCGTGCAGCTTGAGTGAAACTCCTAGTAGGCTTATTCATTGTCCTTTGAGTGACAAGTACTTCTTCTGCATTAGTTTTACCCATGGAACAACATCCAACCTCTCCAACCAGAGAAGGTAACATTTTTAAAGAGTTGCAACTAGCAAGCTTCTCTTTTTTCACATGCTTGTCTCCTGATGTGTGTTGGCTATCCAATATATCTTTGAAGGAGTCGGGGGCAGTTCCAGAGGATGCTCTTGGTGATAATACGATAGGTTTTTCTCCACTAACCTTGGAAGTGTTAAGACTTTCAAACATGTTCAAACCATTGACCAACTTACAGTGGCTCTGCATACCACATGGAATATGGTGTATCAGCCATTGCTTGTCTATGACTGATGTTTCATGCCCAAATATTCTGCAGAAGACCTTACAAAGTTCTTGGACCGTCATCTGGTCAAGCAACATGGCACTCTTGTGACATGAAGATTCAATAACCTTCACTCTATCAGAAGATAAATAAGAATTTTCAGCACCACGATCTCTTTCTTGAAGATGAGGAGAGTGGCTTTCTAAAGCAACATTTCCTAGACAGGATTCCTCATGTGCACCATAATTCAAAGTGGAAACTGCATCACCAGGTTCAGCAACTAAAGGGGGAAGGTATTTCAGATGCCACTATTGGAAGAAATTTTGGTTAAGGAAAAAAGAAAATAAAAGAAAAGTATCTCCATTGTTCAAGGTCCAAAAATCAATAAGGACTCACCCAATAGTGTTTCCTCACATGCACATTGAAGACCAAAATTTTTGGGAATCTTCTCATCTGTGTCTTCCAACTTATCATCGTATCCCTATATATAAAATGAGCAAACATACTCTACATTCAATCAGAAATGTAAATTTGAAATGTATCAGTATGCAAATATCTGGAAAGATTCTGTTTTGATTTTCTGCAAGCCCATGGCCTTCTGGAAAATTAGTCACTAACAAATATAATCATATTTTCTCAGTAACTTCCTGATAGGTATTTAATACTCCAAAACGTGATTACACAAAATAATAAGGTTCTCAAGAATGATGGTCAAGGACAAGGAGAATCAACTACGAAGGGAAGTCATTTAATTGATTTGCACCCTTCGCTTGTGACCAAACTGTAATGCTAGGTAGGAGGGCTGAACCTCAACATTCTGCCAACAAAAAGTGGTTTTCATAAAAGAAAGAAAAGTCAATGCCGAGTAATTTATGAATGCCAAGGTAGGAGTTCTTATGTGGATATGCTTACAGAGCAAACACACTCAAGCTAAATGATATACCATAAAGGAACTAAGTTCATGCATTGAAGAAATGATGCAACTAAAAGACAGTTATTTTCTTTTATGAAACTCCCAAAAGTGTCAATAGAATTATTCTCATTTATTATTTCTTCCTTGTTATCATATTATCATTAATTAGGAGAATATGCTAAGTAAGGAATGTGTAGAAAATTCCTTGATTTCTGCTTTAGGATCTTTATTTGATTGTATATATTTTCTGCTGTAATTAGGTCCTAAGTTGTAGGGATTTGATGTACTCTTAATATCTATATATTGTAAATCTATCTAGAGAGAAAGACACAAAACTTTTCAGAAAAGCTCTTTAATCTGTCATGGTAACGGAGCCGGGTTTCGACATTGTTTCATCTTGTTGCCTAGTTTCGTGATCCTAGTATTCTTGTTTTTGGTTATTCTTGTCTTGCTATTCAGATTTCAGTTATCCGATTTGATATCTTAGCCCTTTTTTTTTTTTTTTTTACTTGAATCATGTCTTTGGAACGATTTGAGCATATTTGTATTCGATTTAATGACAAGAATTATTCGACACGGGAATTTCAATTCCGGATCTTTGTCAAGGAAAAGGAATTATGGGATCATATTGATGGGATGAATATTGCACTCGATAGAGAGAAGGAGAAGGAAAAGTATGTGAAATGGGAGGTGAAGGATGCTCGGATTATGTCTTGGATTCTTGGAAGTGTCGAGCCATCCATTCTTCTCAACCTCAAGCCTTATAAAACTTCCAAAGAAATGTGGGGTTACTTGAAGAAAGTTTATAACCGGAGCAACACAACACGAAAGTTTCGGTTGGAACTTGAGCTAGACACTCTCGTTCAAGACAACATGTCGATCCAAGATTTCTACTCTTCCTTTCAGAATCTCCGAGCTGAATACACCGATATTGTGCATGCAAGTACATCTTTTGAAGGACTCTCTACCGTCCAAAGTGTGCATGAGACCACCGAGCGAGATCGGTTTTTGATGAAATTGAGGAGAGATTTTGAAGGAATCAGATCCAATTTAATGAACAAAGATCCAATTCCTTGTTTGGAGATTTGTCTCGATGAACTTTTAAAGGAAGAACAGAGGCTTATTACTCAAGCTGCAATGGAACGAAAGCTCAAAATTCTGCTCCAATTCCTATTGCCTATGCTTGCTCAAGGGAGATTTAAAGGAAGTAAAGACATGACTAATGTCTAGTGCTATAGTTGCAAAGAATTTGAGCATATTGCCACCAATTGTACTAAAAAATTTTGCAATTATTATAAGAAAGCGGGACATATCATCAAAAATTGCTCCATTCGACCTCCAAAGAAATCAGTTAGAGCCTATAATGTCTCGGTTGATTCCTTAAGTGGTTCCGGTTCTATCGCCACGTCCTCTACCCTTACTTATGTTCCTAGTCCCGGTCGGTCCTCTATTACTCCTAAAATGGTTCAACAAATGATAGCTTACGCCTTTCTCGCTTTAGAAATTTTAGGTAATAACTATTCCGCTTCTAAACTTTGGTATTTCGATTCCGGTGCTTCAAACCACATGACCAATACTGTGTTACCTCTTACCAATGTCCAAAATATAAAGGAAATCTGCATATTCACACGATCGATGGTAATTTCTTACCCATCACGGCAGTTGGTGATATTTCAGCCTCGTTAAATACTTGTTTTTATGTCTCCTAATTTGTCCACTAATCTTATATCGGTTGGTCAATTAGTTGACAATAATTGTAATGTTCAATTCTCAAATTCGGTTGTGTTGTGTAGGATCAAGTGTTGGGGAAGACGATCGCACGGGGACCTAAAGTGGGACGTCTTTTTTCAATATTTTTATCTCCTTCCTATCCTTTGTTAAATTCCGTTGTTTGCAATGCTCGTTCAATGTAATGATCGGGTGTGGCACAAACGTTTAGGCCATCCTAATTCTCATGTATTTCACTTATTGCTTAAATTTGGTTTACTTGATAATAAAAATTCGACTTTTATTGATGATGTCAATATTCATTGTGCTTCTTGCAAGCTTGGTAAAAGCAAAACTCTTCCTTTTCCTTTACATGCAACCCGCACCACCAAATCTTTTGAACTCATTCGGACTAATGTCTCGGGTATTACACCGGTGATTTCTAATGAGCATTACAAATATTTTGTCACATTCATCGATGATTTCACGCGTTTTACTTTGATTTATTTTCTTAGTTCTAAAAGTGAGATTTTCTCTGTGTTTAAAAAGTTTCTTGCCTTGCTTGATACACAATTCTCTACCAAAGTCAAAATCTTACGATCGGATTCTAGTGGTGAATATATGTCAAATGAATTTCAATCTTTCCTCCAAAGTCATGGGATTTTATCACAACGTTCTTGTCCTTTCACTCCACAACAAAACAAGTGTGGTCGAAAGGAAGAATCATCACCTTCTCGATGTTGTTCGAACTCTTTTAATCGATTCTTTTGTTCCTCCTCATTTTTGGTGTGAAGCCTTGTCTACTCGTTGTTTATTTAATAAATAGATTACCTTTTCCAACCTTGGACAATGCTTCACCTTATCTTCGTTTATTTAGGCATGCACCGAATTACTCAAATCTTCATCGTTTTGGATGTGTATGTTTTGTTCATCTTCTTGCACATGAAGGAACTAAACTCACCGCCCAATCTGTCAAGTGTGCTTTTTTAGAAAATGTTGAACATCAAAAAGGTTTTATTTGCTATGATTCTCATGCTCGTCGTACTCGCGTCTCTAGGAATGTCATTTTTTAAAAAAATCGATCTTTCTTTAGCACACAATGATTTCAAAATCTCCTATATTTATTTTGCCATATTTTTCAAAGTCTCCAAGACCAATACAAAGATTTAAGCTTGGTCATGTTTATCAAAGATGCTGTCCACCTACATCCGATTTTTCTACGGGTCCCACTACGATTCCTCCGGATCTTCCTATGGCATCCGATCCTGTTCTACCGATCGCTAGTGATCCAACTCCTATCCGAAGAAGTTCTAGAACTCATAAACCTCCCGATCGATATGGATTTACATCTCCTATGCCTTTGTCTACTACTTTGTCTTCTATTTCAATTCCCTCTTGTTATAAACAAGCTATGAAACATGAGTGCCGGCGACGAGCAATGGAAGCAGAACTTCAAGTACTTGAGGAAAACCACACTTGGGATATTGTCTCTTGTCCTCCAAATGTCAAACTCATTGGAAATAAATGGGTTTATAATATGAAACTCAAGTCCGATGGCTCTTTAGATAGATACAATGCTCGACTGGTTGCTCTTGAAAATAAACAAAAATATGAGCTTGATTATGATGAAACCTTTGCTCCGGTTGCCAAGGTGACCACAATAAGAACTATTATTGCTATTACATCTTTTAAGTCTTAGCCACTTACTTCGGATGGATGTAAAAAATACCTTCTTGCATAGAGACCTCAAAGAAGACATTTACTTGAAACTTCCAACTGGTATGCAAGTAAATTCATGCTCATGAAGTGTGCAAGCTAAGGCGATCCCTATATAGGCTGAAACAAGCCCCTCGAGCTCGGTTTGAGAAGTTTCGTAGCACCCTTCCGAACTTCTCTTTCACACAAAGCCAATATGATTCATCTCTCTTCCGTCATAAGACAACCATTGGTGCGATTCTTCTTTTGGTCTATGTGGATGATATAATCATCACCGGTGATAACAAAGATATGATCACTAAGCTCCAAGCACATGTTACATAATACATTTCATATGAAAGATCTTGGACATCTCACTTATTTCTTAAGGCTAGAGGTTCATTCTCGAGCACATGGGTTGTTCTTAAATCAACATAAATATGTCCAAGACCTTATTGACTTGGCTGGTTTGAAGGATGCTCGCTTCGTTGATACACCAATGGAGGTTAATGTGAAGTATCGAAAAGATGAAGGCGAGCTTCGCTTGATCCATTTCTTTATAGGCGACTAGTTGGTAGTCTTATCTACCTAACTATTACAAGGCTTAATATCTCATATGCTATCCATATAGTTAGCAGATTTATGCAATCACCTCGGCATCTTCATCTTGCTGCAATTAGGCGCATTATTCGATACTTAATTGGATCCCCTACTCGTGGATTATTATTTCCTACAAGTTCTCTTCACTTGGTCGTATATAATGATACCAATTGGGCTAGATGTCCGGATACAAGGAAATCTACAACTGGTCGGTGCATCTTTCTTGGAGATGTCTTGATTTCTTGGAAGTGTAAGAAGCAAGAGTGTGTTTCTAAATCCTCCACGGAGGCTGAATATAAAGCCATGTCCGCAACTTGTTCTGAGGTTGTGTGGTTACGTGGTCTTCTCTTTGAACTTGGATTTCCTCAAGCCGATCCTACTCCGCTTCATGGTGATAATACTAATGCCATTCAAATCACTCGCTAATCCAATTTATCATGAGCGCACCAAGCACATAGAGGTGGATTGTCATTACATTTGAGATGCTTTTAATCGTCGTCTTATCACTCTTCCTCATGTCACTACTAACCTTCAAATAACCGATGTCTTTACTAAAGCTATGACTCGCTAACGACATCGGTTTTTAGTACCAAATTGATGCTCGTAGACTTACCCGCATCAATTTGAGAGGGTATGTCAATAGAATTATTCTCATTTATTATTCCTTCCTTATTATCATATTATCATTAATTAGGAGAATATATTAAGTAAAAAATATGTAGAAAATTCTTTGATTTCTCGCTTTAGGATCTTTATTTGATTGTATATATTTTTTGTTGTAATTAGGTCATAAGTTATAAGGATTTGATGTACTCTTAATATCTATATATTGTAAATCTGTCTAGAGAGAAAGACACAACTTTTCAAAAAAGCTCTTTAATGCGTCAAGAAGTATATATTATGCTTCAATGAAAAAATTATTTTCTTTTATGAAATTTCCGGAAAGTATATATTATGCTAAACCATGACACACACAATAACATCGGTCATGCATTTCTACCTTTGTTTCCTCTCCTTGAATAAAAAACAAATCCAGAGTGCATCCGAATAAGGGAAAGACATAAAGTCATTACCGGTAATTAGAGGGGGAATAAAGAGAGGATCAACAAATCCAACAATAGATATATCCAATTAGCGAAAAAGGTTTACCGAAAAAGAACCCCGATCATTATATCTAATTACATCACAAAAATACCACTAGAACAAACCATCTCAATTTATCGAAAGAATCTAAATATATAATTTCGATTTGCAAGAAGTTGTACAATGTTTGCTTGACAATGATCATATGAATCACAGTTCACAAATGCAAAACCAAATTCTCTACAAGCTTCTTTTTTCTAAATTTCTGTGTTAGAACCAAATTTTAGCATCAAGGAGCAATTAGTATCCAAGGTAAAGAAAACATCTAAAGTTTCATGAAAATGTGTCTAAGCAAAAAAGTGAATCAAGACTCATGAATTAAATATAACAAATAGTTTGAGGAAATCGTAGAAAAAAAATACTACATCTGATGTTGAAAGTGTCTACAGGATAAATAATCAAGATTGTCAAATCATTTATACGTCTCCTAAGCATATAATGATATGACAGAAGATTAAAGAACATAAAATCACTCCATTCAAGCTAAAAATATTATCCAAAACTGATTTTCAGAAGGTTATGAAAGACTTTGGTGCATAGTTTATAATTTTTCTTGGCCTAGTTAGTGGAAAAGCCAATATGCAATAGCAGCTTTCATTGTATAAAGAATGGTGAAAACCATGCATGTAGACTGTAGTGAATTGAAAGTCATTGCAAACAAATTTTTGAGAGCTTATGCTTTTCCAGTATAATCGCTATGATAATTTCAGTGAACTTTGCAATTTTATATTAGAACTACTACAGCAGTAACATGCAAAGAAATAGGTAATTTATATATAAGCCAATGTCTCAATGATGCAAGTCTCCACATCATCCCTTAAGTTCATTATATCTGTTTTTCTAGGACTTCACCATGACCAGTAAGATAAGACCTTAGAGCACTTCTCTTTATTCTTCAAATTCACATCCCTTTAGTACAAGAAAATCTAGTGCATGTAACAGCATTGCTTACACAGTATCCCAAGAAAGACAGAACTCTTAGCAGCATATTAAGATTTTATCCTATCTTTATTGCAATTCTCATCATGCTCACTGAGAGCTAATTATAAGTATGTTTACTGATATCAAACAACAGTTTCATTGAGGCAGTCCTTCTGAGAATGTCATTATCAGAAAGACGCACACAAACACACACACAAGAAAGAGAGATTGTAAATGAAATAAACATTAAGGAGATTATTACCATTGTCAAATTTTATCTTCTCAAACTCGAAACCACATGAAAAGCTTTCAGTATTGAAGCCCTTTGTGGAATTAAATTTGCCAAAGCCGACACTACCATTAAGGCAGTCTCTGTTAAATTCAGGTTCCAATGAAAAATGTTGAAATTCTGTAACTCGATCTTCCCAGGCAGTCAAATAGGAAACATGTTGGTCGACCTACAAAAAGATAAGGGGTTGCATAAAAAACGCTGAAGCAATTCTACAAGTGCTTGAGGGAGACAGAAGAAATAGGAAAGATTATTGAAAAAAGAAAAAGGCACACTATACTGGGAGAATGCCGTATTGTTGTTTAGAACAAGGGGAAGAAAAGTTCGATCTTGTTTGAAAAAACACAAAACACAATACATGATGGAACTTAATGCAAGGAGCATGCAGGAATATTATATTAACTTATTTTGGGGCAAAACACCAAATTCAAAATGTTGTCCTCTTCCACAGTACCTTAGATCACCCTTCATTGTACTTATGTGTGTGTGTGTGTGTGTGTGTCATTGAAGAGTTATAATAAAACTCCATATTTCCAGAAAACACCACTCATATTTGACGTGTAGGTGTCTTGCAATTCATATTCGAATAGCCACAACGTAAAACTGCATGAGTACAATCTCTGCTGTTCTAATGAATAATAACTACCCTAACTAATATGTTAATTTCATACTAACATATTTACCTCACCAAGGCTATAAACAAACATGTTTTCATCATCATGTGAAAGTACCGAAGAGTCCTTTGATGTTTTGTCTATCATCTTCAATTTGCAGCCCTTTCACCTATTTTCCAAATAAAAACATGCAAATAAAGCGTGAATCACTATCCAGTTAATAATCAAAAAGGAAAAAATCTAACAAAAGCTTTTAACTTCAAACACTTACAGCCGTGAAGGATTACAGGAAGGAGTCTAGCATAACAAACCAAACTTAAACCAGTGAAAAGAAGCATTTTTTACTAGCGAAAAGAAAGGCCAAAAATGTTTTAAAAAATAATTAAAAATATATAAAAAAAAAAACAAAAAACAAACAAAGAATTCATTTCAAGATTTATTCATGAAGAAAAGTTGAGGGTGAAACTTGTTTCACACTCCTCTATATTCTATTTGATACACCGAAACAAAATAAAGGTCTTCAACTTTGTTTTTTCATGAACTAAACTGGCTTTCTTGTAAACACATAAAGATATACTTACTTTCTCCATCAGTCCATGTGTTGGAGAACATGGTGGGTTGTGCCTTCCCAATTGAACAACATAACTTCCATTTGAGTTACAAAAATCCCTAAATTGAAAATCCCAAAACCCAAAAGCCTCTCCTATTACCATTGCTTTCTAAGATATTTTCATGTAATAAAAGCAGCATTTGGCTCATATAGCCGACTCATTGTTGTTTTCTTGTTTCTTGCTTGTTTATTTTTGGGCAAAAAAAAAAAAAAAAGGCCTAGTATTCGTCAACTAACAACTAGTCACCTCGTGAATATCCTGAATTTCCTAACAGTTCTTGTATTTCATAGCACAAGACAATTAGTCCAATAATTGACCCAATGCAGTACTGTAATAAAGCAAACTGCAAACCAACGAAAATAACAAGAAAAAGGCAGTCAATTACTATTTGGTATGAGAACACAGAAGCCATCAGAAACCCATGACCCAAAGTCCCAGACATGGAAAATATATGATCTTTTAACAGAATATAATAACGGGTCGCTCCAACGAAATAAAAATGCCAAAACTGAAACTTTTAATTTGGGCATCCTAAAAGAAAAAAAAAAAAAAAAAAGGAGTAGATGACGAAACCCTTACCTTTTGCAGAGATTCAAAGAAACCACACTGGGGCTGAAATTCAATAGTTTCCCTTTGTAAGTTGTAGAGAAAGTTGACAGTGTTTCACGAACCCGAAAGCAGAAATAGAGAGGGAAAGCAAAAGAAAGAGGGGGAAAGCACAGACTAGAAAAACTGGCAGCAAGCATAGGAGGGAAAATGAGAATATATATTGGTACACTCACTGTTTTAACCTTTTCAAGTAAATTATAAATTAGTCCCTTTAGTTTTAAAAAACGAATTAATTAATCTTTTGTATTTTAAAAATAGTTATTAAGTCTATTAATCAGTATTGATCACATTTAATTTAATATTATTTTATTTTAAAAATATTTTTTATTAATTATTTCATAATATCTATTTATTTTTATTTTTTTGAAAAAAAATTAGAAAAGAACATAAAATGGATAAAAATGATTAAAAGAGAGATTAATTAATTCCTTTCACAAAACTAGAGAGACTAATTTATAATTTACTCCACCTTTTCTCATAGCTTTTATTGTTTATAGTTTTGGCACATCATTTTTTTTTTCAATTGCACCAATCAACTACTTCTCCGAAAAAAACCTATCACTAACTTCAAATTTGGAGTTTTTTTTTTTTGGAAGAAAAATTTCCCACCAAAATAATATTGTATTTTATAACAAATTTAAAATAAAATAAATCATTTTATTTGGTTTTAAAAAACAAACCATTTGAAAGGTTTATTTTATTTTATTTTATTTTACTATCAATCCAATGATATTTTGGGATTAGTTTTCAAAAACTGAAATTAAGTTTGTTTTTCAAGTTCTAATAAAAACAAGTCATTTACATCTAAACTAAAAACTACCTTGCAATTCATTAGGCTAATAAATAAATTATAAATGCAACTAAATTATTTATTGTTTCAACCAAATAATTGTGGGCATATGATTGTAAAATACATAATTTATTTTTAAAAAACCAAATAAATAGAGTTAGTTTGATCACATAATAATTCTTAAAATTAGTTGGTCAAAATTAAGGACACATCATCACCAAATGGAAAAGTTTTGATAGGATTTTTAGGAAATTATTTGATTGATACAATCCGAAAGTCGATGTTTCAAAACAAAGAAGCTTGAAATCAAAGTACTCAGTTTTTTTTTTTTTTTTTTAAAAAAAAAGGCGTGAAAATTGGTATGTCAACATTGTACTTACCCCTTGCGAAAGTGTACCAATGGATCGGATTTTCAGCAGATCGAAATTCATATCCCATGAGTACAAATTTTGGATAACAATATAATGTTGAATTTCAGGATTCCATATATACGAAGAAAGAATTTTCTAGAAAAATAAAAATCAAAATTTTTGGTGTCCAAAATATTGAGATTTTTTTAGCATTAATTTTTAAATACTACAACTATTGAAAATTGCAGTGTTCAAGATAATATAATACAGTATTAGATTTTGAAAAAAATATAAAGATTTTAAAAAATTTTAAATTTTTATGAAGAGATTAATTTTGCTAGAAAGATAAACTCGAATGATTACATTATTTTTTTTATAAAATGGATTATTTCGGAATTGATCTTATGATATTTTAAAAAAAATTCACTTAAATTTAGTATTTTTATTATAATACTCTTATGATTTATTTATTTTGTGTTATTGATTGTTGTAGATGACTGATTTGACTATTTGCTTACGAGATAATCTAGAAGGAATGAAATTAAATTTTTCAATATTTTTACTATTTGGAGATAAAATATATGGTTTACAAAACCAAGAACAGAGAACGAAGGGTACTATAATATGACAGGACAGAAGAAGCGCGAACAATCACAAGCCTACATTCATCGCCAATTTCAGGCATTGTGTACAAATGCTGATTGATGATGCGAGAGGAGAGATTAATTACAAAGTCACATTAAGACATTTTCTCTTCTAATACTTACTTATTTGTATAATAAATATATGGTTTAATGACAAAAATTGTATATGTTTAATTACAATTTGATAATCTCAGATCTTTATTATTAATTTGTATAATTTAAATTTCAAAATATCGATTTTTTGGTAAATTTTATCTAAATCAGTTAATTGTAATAATCAATCAAATTGATTGTTAATTTCTTTTACTGTTTTTCTGCTGTTAATTGTTTTTTTAAATGTTAAAATTGTTTTTTCTTCATTTTTCAAGAGATTTTTTTCTACTTAAAATTTTTAAATGTTATTCCCTTTGATTTTTTATAGTCAATCAAATTGTTATATATATATATAATTTTAAAAATAACTTTTATGTAATATTATTATCCATTAAAACAATCAACTTCTATAATTAATAAAATACATATATCTATTGATTGAATTTGATCAATTAAATTATCAAATAATTAATTTTAACTATTTTTTTTGTCACGCTAATAAATTTATTTTTATGACTGTAAATCATTAAATTTTAAATATAGCTATATTTATTTAATATTTTTTTACTTTCACATATTTCATAGGATTTTTTCCTCACAAGTGATTCAAATATATAATAAGCATTTAAAATTGTTAGAGTTAAAAACCTATTTTATAAAATCTTTTCTAATTTTTTATATTTTTAATTATTTAAAGATATGTTCAAAAAATGAAAACTCTTTTTTAAAGAAGAATAAAAAAAATAGTGATAAATTTAATGAACTCTTTTTTATATATATAGGTAAACGGGGTGAAACAAAATAGAGAAAAATAATTTTTAATTTTTTTTTAAATTAACAATAGAAAAAAATTATAGATCCCCTGGATTGACAATTGACTATATTTATTTGGATAAGATTTGCTTCAAATTTGATATTTTAGGATTTAAATTATGTAAATTAATAATAAATATCTGAAATTATTAAATTAAAATAAAACATGAGCAATTTTTTGCTGTAAAACCATAAATAAATCCCAAAAAAATATCCAGAAAAGGAAAACAAATCCTAAAACACAATGTTTATAGTGATAAACACTTCTTTCTCTCGTAGCATCATGAAGAATATTTTGTCAACAGGATCACAGTTCATTGGTCCTTGACTGATAATTGAGGACACAGCTAACAAAGCTGTCGATCATAATAATTCTCCTCCAATCCGCCGAGATTGTTGAGGAGAGATGATGGGTCGACGCATGCATGTCAGGTCAATCAATCAAAATCATCTGTAGAAATCTTATTCGGTAAATCATAACTTAGTGCCTATAGTTTTAAAACACAAACTAATCAGTCTCTCTTATTTCAAAAACTAATTCTTATATTTTAATATAGTTTAATTCTTTTTAATTTATTTTAATTTTTTTATTTTAAGAATAAAAATAATAAATATAAAATATGAAAAGATTACACTTTTTAAAATAATATAATATTAAATTAAGTGTGTTCAACATTATTAAGAGACTAAATAATTAGTTTTAAATAAAAAAGATTAATTAATTTGTTTTGTAAAAATAGAGTGACAAATTTATAAACTTACTTAAATCTTATCCAAGTGATTTCAAGCAAACTATATATTATTTTCTGTATAAAATGTACGGATCAATTGCTTTCATCCAACTATTTTTCCATGCGTATGGACTCACAAAGAATTCATGCACTGCAGTCTGCACATCAAGGCTTTAGGAGGATCAACCATGATGCTTCAAAATGGTGAATTCAAGAATAGATAATTTTTTTATTACAAAAAAAATTAAATAATAAATAAATAGAGTGTTTCTATTTACGTAATTGATCAGCTACAAAAAAAATAAAATAAATTTAACCAAAGTAACGCCTATTAATTTCTAGCCATGAAAGAAAAAAGCGCTTCAAAATAATCAACAAATATTAAAACATTATTTCGCATCCTTCAAAAATAGTTATTTAGACGTGTTTGATAGGTCATGGATATTTCATTAGTATAATTTCAATTATTCTGATTTTGGAGAGGTTTAATATTTTATAGTAGTTTTACGCATATTTTAATTTTACAATATTATCAAACTAATTAATGTATAAAACTATATATATGGATGATAAGTGATGAATATCGTTAAAGAAATTAACACACGTGATTTATTTATTCTTATTATGGCTCCTTATTCAAACCATTCTTAGTTTTGCTCCATTTTAAATAGTTTTATTATTCTGAATAATTATTTTGATACTTATCATTTTTTATTTCATAATAAGGCTACCTCAACAGCCAATAGAGCAAAAAGAGCTAAAAAAAACAGTACTAGAATTAACAATTAACAAAAAAAAAAAACTAAAAGAAAATGTAAAAACTATTATAAAAGAAAGAAAAATAATTGAAGAATTGAAGAGAAAAATGATAAAAAAATAATTTAACTATAAAGAGAATATCGGAGATAACAACTCTAAACAATTCTCACAATCTTTACAAAATGCTTGTAAACCAACTAATGAACAATCAAGTCTATTTATAGGCTTTAAATTTGAGAAGAGAATTTGAATGGACTATGAATAATCAATTTCATCACCCTTTCAATTTCTCATATTGAATGATGAATTGAATCATATTAAGAATTATGAGTAATACGAGATATAAAAAGTAGATGAATATGATGATGAACATTCATTATTTTATAACACTCTCCCTTGAATGTCAATTATACAAGGAACATGCCTCATTAAAACCTTAATAGGAAAAAAATCGGTAGAAAAAAATCTTAGTGAAGAAAAAATAATACAATATTCCTTGTACACATTAATTTAAATGTTGACCTCCCATTGTTGAAAACATCAATTGAGATCTTTAAGACGATGTATTGCAATCCGGTGAATCATCTTCCCAAAAGTTATGGTAGGTAATGCTTTAGCGAATAAATCTGTTGGATTGTCACTTTGATGTATTCTTCCTTTAATGGAATTATGTAAGCATCATTATCCTCATATGATATTGTTTGAATTTCTTTTCTTGATAGATAAACTGCATGTCTTTCGGATATGATAGATCATTGATCTTATCCAAACACATTCTTGACTTATCTTGTAAATTGATATTTCTACATGATTTGAAGATGTGGTAGCTATAGTTTGCTTTATAAAATGCCAAGATATAGATGATGCGGCTATAGTTTACTTTATAAAATGCTAAAATATAGTTGTATCTCTACATGTAAATATATAGCCAATTATGATCGAGGTTTGTGTAGATTAGATAAATAACTTGCATCTACATAATCAATTAATCTCGTTTTTTATTCATTAGAGTAATATAAGCTCATATCAATTATTTCTCGAAGATAACGTAGTATATATTTAACTTTATTTCAATATCTCCGTATTGAAACAAAACAATAACTTACTAATAAATTTATAGAAAAGACTATATCGAGTCGAGTATTATTAGCAAAATATATCAATGCACATGTGGTACTAAGATATGGTACTTCGGGACCAAGTAGTTTTTTGTTATCTTCTCGAGGTAGAAAAGGATTTTTTAGATATCAAGTGAGTGAACTACCATTGAGCTAGTCAATGAATTATCTATACATAGAATCATTGTAAAACTTTTTCTATACAAATTGACTAATGAATAAAAATCTCATTCTTTGAGTGGTCGAATTGCAAGTTGAGATAACATTTTATTTTCTCAAGGTATTCACATAAAATTCTCTTTTTAGATAACTTATGACACTTGGAATCTCTTCATGAGTTCCAATAATATTTAAGTTATTAACACATACAATAAACCCATTTTCAAATAAAAATATATGAATAAATAGGGTTATTTTTTATATAACTTTCTTTCAATAATCATTGAAATGATTATATCACATGCACACGGGTTAGTACTAAACAATAAATATAAAAATAAAATATAAAAAATATAGTATAAATTGAATTTCTAAAAACTAAAATAATAAAAAAATACTAAAATAATCCTAATAGAGATCTCTATAATTTAATTGAATTCTTTTCTCGAGAATATATGTTACATGTTTCGGCATGTTAAGTCCTTCTAGGACTTTCATAATGATATCATTTCAAATGAATAAATAAATTATGATCACATTCGGTAAATGCATGCATATGAATGTTTTTCATATATTTTGTCGAGTTAATAAGATAACAAAATATAATTGCATCCATTATAGGAGAATATGTCTCCTCATAGTTAATGTCGATTATTTGCGAAAACTCGGTGTTAAAAGTCTTGCTTTGTGTCTTACAATCTTATTTTTCTTATTTTGTTTCGCATAAATACATATTTGTATCACATTAGCTTAACATCTTCGAGTGTTTTAGCTATGACTTCAAAAAAACCACTCTTTTATAAGAGAATATAATTCTGTCTGGATTGTTTTTTTCATTTAGGCCAATTATCTTTATGTCGACATTCTTCAATAATTTAGGCTAAGGATCTTTATTTTCATTCAAAATATCAATTACAATATTATATGCAAAAATCTTATCAATAGATATTTTTTTCGATCATTTTTTCTTCATGTATTGATATAATTTATCGAAATCTCTTGATTTGTCTCAAGCATTTGGACTTCTTCTGGAAGCATATTATCGAAATATCTTAGATCGTTTTGTAAATATTTTCATCTTGCCCTTTTCTTTTAGAGATTTTTATCCTTAGAACCGATCGGTCTTTCACGCTTCAAACGTGCTTTAGATTCATTAGCTATATCATTAATAGGCTATCTCTCTAGAACATCAATTCTAATAGAAGCATTCTCAACGAGAACATGTATTTTAGTTACTCTTTTAGGATATGAGAATGCATCTAACGGTTGGTTTGTAATACCTTGTAAACGAATTATCTTCTAAACTTCTAGTTCACATTGTTTTGTACCAAATTGATATAAAGATAGAGTACTCTACGTAATCTTTTTTTTAAATATTTTTCAACTCGCTTATTTCGTTTATTCTCTCCCCTAATGACAAGTCGATAAATCAAGCTATAAAAATATCAATTATTCATGATTCAAGATATTTAATTATCGAAAAGGATTCAAATCCAACATATATTCCTAATCTCCATGAAATGCCCATTTTATTTCATTATAAAGGAGCACTAAGGATATACACCGCAACGTCAAAAAATTCTTAAATAAGAAATATTTAGCTCATGACTATAAGCCAATTAAAAGGGGGAGAATTTTTGATAACTTAAGGGTCTGATGGGAATAAATATTGTTACATGTAAGATTGCATGTCCCCAAAAATAAACATGGAGTTTCATTTTTAAATAATGGTTTAGCTATTAATTGAAGGCTTTTGATAAATAATTTTGCTAAACCTTTTTGAGTATGAACATAAGCAACAAGATGTTCAACCTTTATTCTAATAGCCAATCAATAATCATTTAATGCTTAGAAGATAAATTCACCGGTATTATCAAGGTGACTTGTTTTAATGGCATAATCTAAAAATTATGCTCGAAATCAAATTATTTGCTAGCAATCTCGAAAACGTCGGGTTTTGAGTAGATAATAAACATACATGTGACCATCTTATAGATGCATCTATTAAAATCATAACATATTTAAATGACACACATGGTGGATGAATTGATCTACACATATCACCTTGAATACATTCTAAAAAATACTAGAGATTCAATCTCAATTTTACTTGGTGATGGCTCAATAATCAACTTGTCCTAAGAACATGCGGAACATGAAAATTCATTAAATTGAAGAATCTTCGGCTCTTCAATAGATGTCCATATGATTTTTTAATAATTTTTAGCATCATGAAAGACCCAAGATAACACAATTGGTCATGTTACATAATAAAAGTATTTGAATTAGTAAATTTTTGATTTATTATAACATTTGTTTCAATCATTTCAATATTTGTAATAAAGACTAGAAGAGAAAGCGAATAAATTTTTTAATATATATTTTCTATTCGATATAATGATTATAATATATAAGAATTCACATTTGTTATCTTGATATGATATCAATTTAGATGAATATCTTTGAAATTTAACAAGTTTCTAAGAGACTTTGAAAAGAATAATACATCATTTATAATAAAATTTATCCTTTTAGATAATAACATATTTTCTCTTTTGGAGCCATTAAATTATGTCATTTCAAGCAATAATATATCGACTCTTTTAAAGTCTATAAAAGTTATCTCTTCAAGTAATAATATATTCACTCTTCTAGAGTCTTTAAAAGTTATCTCTTCATGTAATAATGTATTTGCTATTTTAGAGTCCTCAAAATTTATCTCTTCGAGCAATAATATAATCGCTCTTCGAGAGCTTTAAATATTTATCTCTTCAAGTAATAATATAATCACTCTTCTAGAGCTTTCTATTACATTGATATTATCATATACAATATTAACATAAAATAATTAAATAAATAAATTCTTCATAACCATAAATAAATAAATAAATAGTCAAATAAATTTATCACTATCTCTATGCAATTATAAGAAAATATAAAATATTTTATTTATAAATAAAAAAACTAACCAATTATTAATTTCAATTACCTCTATTTTCATATATAAAATTAGCCTCTATATTTTTTTCTTTTTCAACGAGGTTTGACAAGGCTTGATGAGGTGCTTTGGTGTACTCGTAGGTACACGACCAATGTCCATTTATATCATTTCTATAACATTTATTTTCGAATGCCGACTTTATCTATTTTCATTCTTTTTTTTTTCATAATTATCCACTTTATGGTGGTAAGATGTAATATTATGATCATCATAATTATAATGATAATTATTTTGATTATGTCTATGGCTATGACCATATCTTTGTCCATGCTCAAAATTATTATAAATTGTCACATTCACTTTAGGGATTTGAGAAAATCCAATTGGATGAGGTTTATTCCTTTTCATCAATAGCTTGTCATTTTATTTAGCCATGAGCAAATTTGAAATCAATTCAGAATATTTCTTAAATTTATTTTCTCAATATTGCTACCATAGGAGCGTATTCAAAACATAAAAAGTAGATAATATTTTTTCAGAATTAAGCACTCATAATTAATAATTCTTATTCGAAATATCAAGAGTCATAAAATTAGGTTTATGAGGTTTGATATGATAAAAATTCTATAATGTAATATATAATAATAATATTAGAAAATAAAAACAAATATAATAATAAAATTAAAGCTTTTCAAACAACATATATTAGATCATTAGATTCTATATATTAAATCATTTAAGTTTTTCAAATGTATATTCTATATATCATTATATTTAAAGTACATGATAAATTAAATACATACCTCTTAATGATATAAATAATTTAAATTTTTTGATAGAGCACTTGTGTAGAAGAAATCCAATGATTGAAACAATTGATTAAGTCTTTTGGTAGATACATACCTCATGGTCTATTGTCTCGATTAATTAGAGTTTCGTGCCGATAACGTGTTATAAAAGAAAGAGAAGTAATTGGTGAATTGAAGAGAAAAATGATGAAGAAATGATTTCACTATAAAGAGAATAAAACGAGATAACAACCCTAAACAATTCTCACAATCTTTACAAAATGCTTGTACACCAACTAATAAACAATCAAGTCTATTTATAGACTTCAAATTTGAAAAGAGAATTGGAAGGGATTATGAATAATCAATTGTATCACTCTTTCAATTTCTCATATTAAATGATGAATTGAATCATATTAAGAATTATGAGTAGTGGGGGATACAAAAAGTAGACGAATATGATGATGGACATTCATTATTTCATAACAAAAACATTGCACTTATTTTACTATGAATTGATCTGTTCAAAATCCATTTTCTTCTTCATTTTCTATTGTTACTTAACCGTTGAAGACCCCATTTTCTCTTGTCTCTGCAATTTTTTTTTCCTTTCTTCTTGCCCTTTTTTCTATTGTAAATTTTATGCTTGTCATTTAGTGCCTTTGAGCAATTGCTTTTTTACCCTTTTTTTTTTTTTTCCCTTCACTACACCTTGCTTTGATTTTTTTGACTTTTTTTTCATGCTTGACAGAGTATTTGATGCTCTAGTAAACCCCACCTTTTTTTCCCTCTACGGGTCTCATTTAATTCGTTTTTCTTGCCCTTCTTTTTTATTTTAAATTCCGTGCTTGCCATTCAATTTTGTTTGTGCAATTGCTTTTTTGCCCCTCTTTCCTTCTTTTCCCAAGCATCTCTTTTTTTTTTTTTTTTGTTGTTCTTTTTTGACTTTTTCTTTAAAGGTTTGACAAAACATCCGATGCTATCACATAATGAATTTACATCTCCGTATATTGCCATTATTTTTTTTTTTGTCTTTTTGCGGAGCGGGTTGTTTTTTTGGGTAGATGGCACATTTTGAATTTATAATTTTTAGATTTTGGAGTAAAATTTAGAACATAATTATTTTTTATTTTTAAAAATAAATTGATATTATTTTGATAATTTCTTCTTTGAATTTTTTTTAATTATAGTAATACACACACTTTTTGATTAAAAATGTGTTTAAGATAATTTATCTCATTTTTTTTTAAAATTAATTTTCAAAATATTTAATTAATAATTGAAAGTTAAATACATAAAAAACAATGATTGCTAGACGGACGAGGCACCGTGCAAATGGACTGGTCATTTTTGGCTTATAAATAAAAAATTATTCAAGAAGAAGAAAAAAGAATTCACGTGTTTTATTTGGTTCTTTTTTATATGATCAAAATTTATCAAAATTAATTTTTTAATTATTTATATTAATCTATAAATTTCAAATTTATTCAATAAATTCCTTACAAGTGATTTTTTTTTTAATATCTTTTGTTTTACATTACAAACTCTAAACTCACTCACTCGTAAATATATATTGAATAATTGGTTTTTATAAACATATACGAGTTATCGAACACTAAGCATTTACTATTTATTTATAAATATTTTAAATCAATTTTTTTCAAATTAAATATATGAAATTATGTTTTCGCATAGCTATCAATGATTCAAATATAGTTTTTTTTGTTTTAATATTACTATTTTCTTTTTGTGAATAAGTATATAAAAATTAAATGCACATACTTTAAAAACTAATATTCTTATCAAAATTAAATAAAAGTCATTTTTTTATTTGTTTATTTTTATATCAGTTTTTACATTAATTATTATTATTTTTTTGACATAATCTTATGAAATACTAAGGTTTATATATATATATATATATATATATATATATATATATTGAATTTTCTTTTTGTTTAAAATCCATAGATAAAGAAGAATTAGTAAATACTATTTAAGATACATTGAATGATAATTCACGTGTTTTTACTGAATATGCGGTGTAGCATGCACAAAATAAGTAGGGAAAACTATATAAGAGAGTCCAAACATCATTTCAATAGAACAAAATCAAAAACAGGAAGACGCATAGTCAGAGCCAAGCCACAAGACCCTCGGTTCTTGAAACTCCATTCTTACCTAAGAATCTATGATGCTGCTGGCCTCTAAATAGCATGACAAAACTGGCCCCAAAGTTAACTTAGTGAAAAAAAAAAAAAATCAATAAGTCAATTTTTTTAGGTTTAATATTTATCCTATTATACATCTTCAAGAAATTATAAAACAAATATTAATAAAAGTAATAAAAATATATTCTTAATAACGTATCCATGGTATATAAAATTCTAAATTTCAATAATTGATGTATCATATATACCTATGTATGTGCTTCATATATAGCTTTTGGATCAGTCACGTCCACCCTTTTTCTTTTTCTAATAGAAAGAACAAGAATTATGTTAACATATCCTGCTTGCAATCAGATGCTTGCTATGATGAAATATGAATTAACCATTACTAAGTGGATGCAGGGACGCGACTGCATATTTTTCTGTGTAGTTTAATTTCATCATCTTAACAAATTTATATAATTTATCCTTTTAAGAAGAAAATTATCATTTTGAGTTCAGATTGAGCAGGCAATCACAATGACAAGCTAGTGGATATGATAACCAGCTCAATAAATTCCTATTTTTCTGCATTTTGACAACCAAACAATCTTTTCAAAATAAAATTAATTTTCCTCTCCTTTAGTTTAACAATAAAAAAGGGTTTGAATTTGAGTTTGTAGTTCAACGAGAATTTATTAAATTCTACTAAATACAAATGCATCCTTAAAATTATTTGAAAAAAGACTTAATTTTGCTTGACGTACAAACTTATATGAAGATACTTTTTTGTCGAATAAAATAAAAATGATAAACTTTTCCATCACTTAGTTTAAGATCATACTACTCGAAGATTTAATATCGGTTGATGCACATGCTGTTTTAAAAATACATCTTACAATAAAAAAAAAAAAAAACGGTGGATTCTGTTTTATCATAAATGGTTCACATTATTCTCCTTGTTTATATTTTTTTTCACTTCTACAGGATATGATACGACTTGTGCCTAAGACCACATTGATATTAGAACTTTAGTCTTAGATTACTTCCTCTCTGATTGAAGAAAATGGGAACTGGCCCATTGTGCTACTGGTCTAGTTGGTTAAATTTCCACATCATCTGATCATACGTACCTGTTTGAACTCTTGTCTGCCTGATTGTATTGTACATCTCTAATCAATTTATGCGGACAAAAGAATGCATATACTGAATAATTGATGGCTTGGCTGATGACTGAAGGGTTATGATTGATTTTGTACTGCCATTTGCAGTTCAAGCCAACCATTCATTTCCTGATACGATAGCTTTCTATTAACGAAGCCTGCAAGCATGCCATGCCATGTACAACTCTTGTTGAATATCCAACACAATATCTTGTAGAAATTAAAAATACAAGCAATGAAAAGAATAAAGAAAAATCCAGTTCAAATGACAAAAAGAGTAGGGGTGTAATCTTTTCTTTCTTTTACTTTTTTTTTTTGGAATAACTAGTGTGCGTGAGGAAAGATATGGAAACTAGAAAAGTTTATGAGTCTGTATTGCCAACAGGTACTGGAACTCGAAGTCATATGGTATCTTCTCAACAGTAATGCGGGGTATTTTGCCACTGTTACGGCCCCTGAAGCAATCCACTATTGATTTCCTCAATGTCCCAGATGTAGGTAATTGATGACAAACCCATTCCACTAATGTGTCTGTGTCCACAGCAAAATCAAGCATGTTTCGAAGCAGAAGATCGGGGAATGCTATCTTTTTTGTGCTAGTCACCACTACTGAAGCTTGCAAATACTCTAACTTTGATTTCTCCAACTCATCCATGACACCTTCAGCTGTATATACTCTCACCTGAATGTGGGACGTGTATTTTTAGTTCAGGTTCTGATTATGCATGAAGGCAGAGGAATTTTAAATAATTGATGGCTTCGAAGACTAATGTCTCTGAAGAAAAATGTTATTGTACTTTTTGTAGCAGTTCTATGATACAGTAGGAATTTGATCAACTTACAGCAGGAGATGAGCGAGTTCCACAACAAAGAGCAAATGCGACATTTGGATCCATCGATTCAAGTCCGTAAAGTTTGCGAACAACAGCTTCTTTATCATCTTTTTCATTCTTTTGATTAACCTTTGGAAAGATCATATATATACATATATCATCATGATGTAACAAATTAACCTTATAGATTAGGGCAGGGGGCATCAGTATAATATACCTTGTTTGAAGATGCTGGCTTCCTCAAAATATAATGCTGTATTGCTTGAGCATTAATAGTGTTGCCTCCTATGTTGAGGGTTGCCTGAATCCAGTTATTTAAAATTGCATAAACTCTTTTTTGTTAGCATTCTTGAGATTCCCTTTTCTTTGACCAAAAATTAGTAAAGCAATCAAAGCAGTCACTTCTTTTTCTTTATTTCAAAAGCAGGAGTTGTACTAGTAAATCCAATCAAGGAACTTAACTAGTCACGGAAGAAGTTGTAAATGTACCTTGTTCATCAATGTGAACAATTTTTCTGGTGCAGAAGGCACTCCGTACTGAATAAATCCCTGTAATGTTTGAAGAAATCGATACAACATCAAGATTTTAACCAGAAGTAAGCAAAAAAAGTGTAAAGCTATCCTGATGTGTGCCTAGTAGCTTGCTCCTACATCAGACCAGCAGCTATATGTATACGATATCTTCTACAGTTGCTGATCTGATGGAATTGCATACCTACTTGCACATCAGGTTAGCCAATATCATCAGATAAGGAAATAAGTTCAGTAAAAAAAATTCCATAATATACATGCATGATACAAGCATTGTACATGTTGATCCAGAATGCTAGTTTCTGTTGGTAAGTCAAGAATCGCAAGTCCACAGTCTGGAGATTGTTCATTAACAACCTGTAGTCATAAACAGGGGAAAAGAAGAGATTAGTGGGTCACCACCACATGATGCTCCTGTTTCTGAATTCATATTGTAGAAGAAGAGGTGGATCTGAATTGGTAAATATTCAAAAGCAATTGCGTAAATTCTTAAGTCCACTGGCATTGCGTAGATGTAGTAGTCATGTAACCATCTGTGGATGTTTAGCAAAATACCTCAACTTCCTCAAGAGAGGGATAGAACTAGAATGTGAAATCCATTTTGGGTCCATGGAGCTTGACGTGAATATAACCAAGTTCTTGTAAGGACCTATATCCCTTGGGATAGACTCTTCCGCATCGAAGACACCATATGGATCCTGTTGTCTTGATTCCTTTTGTAACAGAAGGTTCGATTTTGAGTTCATGCTGTTCTCGGATCTGAAATTTCTTGATATCATAGAAGAGTGCAAAGACCTGGAAACGGGTCCTGATTTCTCCAGTTCCATTGCTCTTGATGTCCTTAGTAACCTGACATAAATGAAGTTCAAACACTTCATGATATTCTCAGATAGCTTGTTGGGCTGCAGCTGCTGAGTGTTCTCTTCTGGTAGAATTGAATTAGATAGTGATTTTGATAGGAGGTCCAACGGGATCTGCGCATTACGTTCTCTTGGCTGAAACAACAAGTCATTATGAACATGCTTTCATTAGTATCCTTTATCGTCAACATATGAAAATGGCACCAAGTTGGACACACCGTGATTTTATCAGTACTAGAGTAGTGCTCCTATTTAGAAACTGATAACCAAGGGTCATTCTTATAAATTCGATATGGATACAGCATATTGAAATATATATATATATATATATATATATATATGTGTGTGCGCGCGCGCGCGCATTTATAAGAACTAGTCGAAGCACAATCAACTAGTGCAAAAGAAATCAAGGGCTACCTTGGGGGAGGGATGTCTAGGATCTCGCAAAGGTGACGGCGACGTTAGCATCCCACTTTTTTTGGAACCCTGTCTTGAAATTTAGCCTCCTCGTGAAAATGGTTTTCTTTCTGATCAGAAAATACTTTTGAGGCTCCCATTTTCTCATTTGGATTGAAGTCATTAAGAATATAGTCACCCTTAATTGCTTTGCTTATAAAATGTAATGCCTTGGTCTCGAATGCCATTTTTTCCTGAACGCCTTTTATGAAGAAGGGGCTTGGATTAGCTGTGTTGGACAAATGGCCTTGGAGGTTACTTAGAGTTCCAGCTGCAGGCTGCAGTTGTTTTGATTTTGCATCCTTAGTTATTACCTCTTCGTGTTTCAGACCCAGTTGAAGTTGACTTATTTGGCCTTCCAATCGAGCTATCTCACCCTCAACCATGGCCAACTCTGCTAAGAGCTCTTTCATCTGCATAACATTCCGCATAATCAGTATTCAACCACATAATATATTGTTCATTCTTTTATGAAGAGGCATATTATTCAATTTAATCAGCTCTGCATAAAGTTTCTAGTGCATACATCCTTAACTTGCAGCCAAAATGCAAACTACATCATATATCGTAGATGGATTCTGCATCTAAATTTAGACTTTCCCAAAGAAAACTTTGATGTTATTAATTAATTATAGTAGTTCCCCCCGCCCCCCTTCTCATAATTTAGACTCTCCCCGCAGGTAGGAAAAGAATTTACTCTTCCCACCTTCAACAACTTTACTCCCTAAATTGGTAGTTCTAAATAACGTCCTCTAAGTAATGTTACAACCGTTATTAACCGATTCAAACACATTCGTTAGTATTATATAACATTACAGAGAACTCAATAGTATTTTATCCAAATAATAATAATAATAACGGTATTATATTAGTGAATAATAACTGTTATATTATTATTCAAAAGAACTTTTGATTCTTTAAAGAAACACCACCAATTCATATGAAATATCATTACTTTTTCAATATGTGGATGTATTAAATAAGTTAGATGTATTATATAAGTTTTCATTATGTCAAATGATTAAACCATTTGAAATGTTATTATTATATATGCTTAATTATTAAAACTATTAAAATATATAAATTAAAATGAATTTATTAATAATTACAAATGCATTTAGGATATCGATTACCACAACAGTTTTTATAATCAGTCCACAATTTGAAACTATGCCTAAGTTAGATAGCATTACAGAACATTATATATATGTTCTTATGTAGTTGGTTCTCCTTAAATACTAAGAAGTTGGTATACCAACTGTTTAGTAGGCCAAAAGCAACATCAACTGCAAACCAACAGTTGTTAATAAAAATCCACGATAAGAAACTATTTTCTACCGACTTTTAGAGAGGAAAATGGTGGAGTGACAAGGCTACCGAGAGAGTTGAAAAATCTGGGATCTTCATGCAAATAAAAGGAAAAGAATTCATTTAGAGAGAGAGCTGAACGCTGGTTTGAAAGACAGTGAAAACATGATACTTTAATATCCCAACTTAATTTATGTAATTTTTTTCACTCTCCATCCTTTATGTTCCCTTGATATGCTTGAAGAAACAAGTGTTTTGTGAGGCAGAATTATTTGGCATTATCTTAAATGACTTGTAATCAGATTCTAGTAAATGATGGGTACAGTTACATATCTATACATTATACACCCAATCCAAATGGACTTCTTGGTGAAGGGAATATATGAAAAGAGCAAAAAGCATTACCTTAGGAGGAAGGAAGTTTGGGATTGAAATCCCAGAACCATCATCCTTCTTATGCATACGATCCAAAATCTCATGCACATTTTCTTCTTGTTTCAGCATTTTCTGAAGCATAGAAACCTATAATGTGGAATATAGAAAAGTAAATGTATTGTGACATAGGGCTACATGGAAGCGACAGTAATTCATTCATTTTCCCATGATTTTCTGAAGAACGGAAGAATAAGATCTCCAACGTTTGAAACTGTATATGACATCTTGTAAGAATCTATATCGTACTCTCTACAAGATTGTCCAACGATATAGCTAGGAATTAGGATCAATAGGATATATAATGAGGAATGGTTTAATTGTTGCTCCCATATTTATAAGTGAAGAGTGAAGTACTTGCAGCATGGAGGTTGGTATTTAACGGCTATGGGCTAGAGATGATTTACTGAAAGCAATATGAGGACATACAATAAAGTCCATAAGTGATAACATAACAGTGTGTTGTCGTTTTTCCTAGTTTTTTTTTTTAATAAAAAATTCTTCTCCACGTACTAAGGTTTTCTTGAACTTCAAGCGTGAGATCTAATAGTAAACTTGTTACGATGTGAATGTCATCTGTTTTTAACCACAAATAATTTAATTTTGATGTGTAAAATTTGATCTTAGTTAAAATATACGATACTAGAACACAAAACCAAAAAAAAAAATTGTTTCTTTTTCTATTTGATAGTAAATTATATTGGATATGATTCTCTCTGTGTTTTACCGAAGTGATTTCTCGTGTATGTACGTGAAAAATAACAAGAACTTATCTTTCATTTATTTTTCTGAAATTTTTATTTTGGAGAAATGGACCTAAAAAACCTTCTAACTTCTGTTTTTTTATCAAACATTATATTAGCAGACCTTTTTTGCAATTTATTTGAAATGAATTGTAGAGATAAAAGATGTAAATGAAATGAATTGCAGATAATACTAATAAAACATATAAATTAACTTAGAAACAAGGCAGACACTAACAATCACACAGTAACAAAAAACTAATATATATAATCTGCATTAATTGCTTTCCTTCAGAAATACATGAGAAAATGGGAGCATATCTATTATTCACTACTGCAATATATTCACACATACCTCTCTTTCCAGTGCCTCTATTTTTTGCTGCCCACTGATTTTCTTTCTTCTCTGTAATTAGTAGTAATTACAAAGTAATAAATCAAAACACATAAGAAAATTAGGCGGGGAAGAGAAATTAAGGACAGTGCAATTCAAAGGCATTGAAAATAATTGAAGGAGCTAGTCCATATATAATTAAACCCTATACATACTCCTTTGAGATAACATTAGCAAGAAGAAGGAAAATGCATGATGATCAACCCAAACTTACAATATCCAGCGGCATGTCCCCGTGACTAGCCATAAACGATGTATTTCTATAGTACTGTAGCTTCAACCTGCTGCTGCTTCAACTTGTTCTTTAGGAGAGACATTAAAAACAACAAGGATGGTCAGGACTTTATGATGGATGATACAGAATAAAGAAAGATCCAATAATTATCGTAGACCTTAAGGAAGAATGGCAGGTTGTTGCAGCTGCTTGTTTGTTGAAATTTGATTTGAAGAATGAGAGGAAAAAAAAAGAAAAAAAGGGTATACGTTTGAGGTTGAGAAGATGAGAAGGAGCTTTCAGCGTGATAGGAAGGAGAGAGGTTGGTTAAGGTAAGTTTGTAGTAACTGTTCTCAATTTGTAAATGGCGTGGGAAATGATGCAAGATTGCAAAGAAACAGGTAAGTAGTGGGATGGCTTTTGCTTAGCTTGCACTCGTGGTTTTTCAAAGGGTTTGCGGTTATACCTTCTAATTTCCTTTTTAAGGCTTCGGATGGTGGAAAAAGTAAGGAAATGTATCATTATTGTTGGGTTATATTAGGCTGACTTGTAACATAACACTGCAATCCCAAAACTATCATAATCAATTCTTTAAATAGTCTATTCTAATCCTAATAATCTTTTGAGTTAATTTTTATATTTTCTTTTCCAAGAATTGATTTTGTTAGTGGCTGGGTATATAATGAACATTTTAGTACTTTAATGATTTGCTGTTGTGTCGACTTTTATGATGGTATATAGATTTTTCTTTTAACAAGAAATGAGTGTACAGTTTATTTTAGGTAAAATGAGTCTACAGTTTATTTTAGGCTTATTGAAATTAAAATTATGTTTGATTTAACTTTTACAAATTATTTTTTTTATATATTTTTTTAAAAATCATAAATATGTTTGGTTAGAAATGACTTTGACTTAAATCAAAAATTCATTTCAGAATTGAATCAAAAGTTTTGTTTAATTTTTTGACTTTTAACTTATTCTTCTTTCAAAAAAATTATTTTGAGTTATTTTTATCAAATATATTTTTAATTTAAAGTCCTTTTAACTTATTTTTGTTATAAGTTATTTATAAAAACAAAGTTACTTTTTCATAAGTCATATAAAAAATACTTCTAAATTTTCTCCTTATTATTATCCTAACCTTGCAACCCTTTTATACCCCCAATATATAGATCCGATTCAATGCCCTCGACCTTATCCCACGCATTTCCATCTAAAAAATACGAAATATATTCAAAAGTTTAAACTGATGACTAAGGCTACAAAAATAATTTTATATTACTCTATAACACATTCTTTTAAGTGAAAGTCATTTTGGCTTAAAACTTATACATGTTCATCATTACCTTATGCTTAATTATTGAATCGAAAAGAGAGTGGAGGTGGTAAAATTCAAACTCATGATCATTTGATCATCAAGGCTCGATACAATGAAACAACCATCTCAATCCAAAAAATTGAGCTAGTAGATAAGGCTCTAAGATTTGTTTTATATCACTCTCTAACACTATTTGTGCTTCTTATGATGTTTTTATTGTATAGATCTCAATATATATATATTTTCTTGGTAGTTGGTATGTCTTGGGAATTTAGTCTCACTCTATATAAATTAGTTTTTGTGAGAAAATAATCAAATAAACAACAATTAAGAGCATAAAATAAATCAATCACAAGAATACAACCAAAAAAATATTAAATTTACATGAAAAACCATCTCTATCTCTTTATCATAAAGGAGAAAAACATGAGACCAATTTTGAAATAATCCACTATAATCAAGATTATAATATAATCACTAAAGTTTTTCTATGAATTTGAAAGGAAAAATGATAGTAATAAAAGTTACCTCTCTAATTAAATCTCACCACAAAAAGAAATTCATTTAGCAACAGTTTAAACAATTGCTAAATGAAAAAAACCATTACTAATTAAACGTAGCAACGATTTAGAGATGGTCCAAAACCGTCATTAAAAAGCTTTTCACTAATTAATTAGCAATGGTTCAAGGATTCCATTGCGATTTTAGAAACGATTTATCCATCATTAACAAATAAAAAATTCATCACTAAATAACGAAAAAAAGATTGCCAATTTAGCAACGGTTTCTTAAAAATAATCAATAAATCGTCATTAAATTTAGCTTATGTTTAGTGATGGTTTATCTAAACCATCACAAATTATGACCAAATTTAGCTTGGATTTAGCTATGGGATTAAAACCATCACTAAATCAATTTTTTTGGACGATATTTTCGATCAATTATTTTATTGTTCACATATCGCTAATAAGTAATGTATCTCATTTTTATTTTCCCATATCCAATCCAATTTAACAATTATAATAACAATATGAAATATAATTATAGAAAATATGAATTCTTTATAATATATCAAATCCAATCTAATCCAATATATATTCAAACACCAAATTATATTAAAGTGTATTAATATTTCAGTAAATAAAAACATAAGAGTGATAAAAAAGATAGTATGATGAATGGGCTACATGTCAAATATCAGCATTTTCATTCGATGCATGATGATTAATCGGAGGATTGGTGAGAGAATTACCTTTTTGCATATTCAATAACATGTGTTGCATCTATTGCATTATCACATACTACTCTCGATTATATTACTCTAATTGTTTTTGACATTTTAGGAGAGATGTAATAGTACCCTTCAATTTCGGATCTTTTTTCTCATTGCCCTCCACTTCCTTTCAATGCGATGTGATTAAATTACGGGATGAACCGACATTTGAGTAATAATGAGAGACCTATGACCCAAGTCCTCACATTCTTTTTCTCTTACCGTCTCCTCCTCTAACAACCCTATTAAATATCCCATTCTTATCAATGTCGAGCATTGAAGTACCCTCCATCCCCCAGCTTAACAACCTCTTCCTCAAATATTTTATTGATGATGTCCAATATAATTATATAAATTTTAATATTAAATAATAATCTTAATAAGTTATATAAAAATGACCTTATAAATTACTTACCTCGAGATTTTTTGCCCATTAATCGATGAATATGTACTTTATTATCAATTTTTCTTCGTGAATCTTTAAGAACACCTTGTGAGCATCGAGTTTACGACCTAATTCCTTATCCTGAAACAAATATACTTAAATGTATATTATTGTTACAATATTTGTAAATAATATATATATATATATATATATATATGATTTACCTTGTGTATTGCATGCTCCCTCGTGTATAATCGAACCCCCTGTATGTCTAGATGGACCAATTTTGATGCCATTCATCTCGTTCATGTAGCTTCGGGTGGCTCGCTTAAATCGGGCTCAAGGCTCGAGTTTTGCTCATTCTTGCTACCATGTCTCATGTGAGATATACATTGGTTTGGGGTGTGTCATCACATGATAAAGGAAGTCGAAACATCGCTTTCATACCATACTCTACCAATCTTTTCTAAAGCCTTGATTGAACTCCCGATCCTAAATAAAAAACTTCTACATGAGCATTAAAAATATTCATTAGTAAATTTAAATGAATACTAAGCAACTTAATTAAAATATACTCGTCACATTAAATTACCTTAAACTCCAATATAAGTCATTAGTTTGCTCGATAAATTACTTCCACATCATTTCGGATAGGTTGACATGCTCATGAAATATCTTATAGATTCGACGAGAGCTCACATCGAATGGATACAATCTGTCAAAAAAGATAATTAATGATTAAATAAACACATTAGCATAATAATACATAATAAAAAATATGCATAATATGTGCTCCTTACCATCAATGAGAATAATTAGAATGCAAGATCATATGCGGAATCGGTAGGTGCGAAGACATACCAAAAGGGACGTATGGCAACGACCCATGTGTAGATACTTGATGATCATCTTATTAGAACGTGGGCCTTAATGACAATGAAGGTTCGAAGTGCAAGCACGTGGTCCAAACTAATGGGGCTCGGGCCGAGACATGTCAAATGATGATGGGTATGACATAGAGGCCGTGGGAGGGAATGCATCCATATCGAATGGAGGGCCATGCAACTCTGGAATAGAAGCAAGACTACACCAACGTCTATGGTCACCGCCATCATTAGTGCTCGAACCATAACTCTCATCATCTAACTAGGCCACTACATATAAGAATGCCCCTTACCACAAAGCATAACCTACACATTATCACATTAATTAGTTAATCAAACACAATAACTATAAACCATCTCTATTACCATAAAAAAGTTTAAATAAATTTATTTTATGATCAATAAATACTTTTATAATTAAATTAAAATATGCACACATATATGTTATCTTAATAATTTTAATTAAACTGTAGGGGACAATCCAACCTTACCACTAATCACTATCTTAGTCATCATTGTTATAGTTTTCATCTAAGTCTTTCTTTACATCTATTTCAAATTCAACTTCATTCTCTTCATTAATTTCATCCCTTTCTAAATCTATTAAAGATCTAATTGGATCGGTTAACAACCGACCCTCATTGTCAACTTGGACGACATTGTGTTAGGCTTCCATATTGTTTTTTTGAAATGATTTTGTATTTTTTAGATCGTAACATTCGATTTTGGTACATCTACTACTACCCTCGATTTTACCTTTCATACGACAAACCGATAACGCCTCGATGTACTTTGATATAAGATATATTGCATAATACACCGAATGTGCTTGTGTTGTTAGGATAAATGGATTAATTTTTTTGACGTCCCGTGACAAAGTTGGCTCATAAAATAGTCGTCGAAGGAATAATAATTTTAAGATTTTTAATATCCTTATAATATATAGTTGATAATCGATGAAGTTGAGTATTGAAAATTTTGCTAATTTTAATACTTACTCATTGTAAGGTGTCACATCATCAAAGTTCAATAAAATGTAAGTATGGAATGCAAGCTTTTTGTTATCCGTCAATATATCCGATTTTACTCTACTAGGAGATCGACCATTCGATTTGAATATAGCAAGCATCCTTTCAATGTCATTACTTGATTCTTGAAAATACTTAAAGTTAC